ATATAAATGGATGACAGAACACCGAACGTGTGGGATAGTAAAAAAAAAAAAAAAAAAAAAAAAATCAAACATTGCTAAGAGTCGCGAAGGATAGAAAGTTGTGGAGTGCCATGGACTTGCACGCCCTGGAAGAACACAGCGCATAAAAGATGAATGGCAAAATGTCATTATTATCACTTTCGAAACCCATGTAAAGACATTTATCATTTGTATATGCTTCTTTAAATCCACGCGTCTAGCGTAGAAGACATTGACAGACCTGTCGTGCATGCATACGCATGCGTCACTCAAAATTCATATAGGTAGACTTTTGTATATATATATATATATATATATATATATATATATATATATATATATATATATAGATAGATAGATAGAGAGAGGAAAATCAGTATATTTATTATTAGTAGTAAAGTTTTGTATTATTTTTTTTTTTAACGGTTCATAATTTTTTGAGCTCTGCTCTTACCTCTTTACCACCCTCCCTTTTTCTCATGAACAACAGAATAGACGCTCAGGCACCCATCACCACCGCCTCCAACAACCCCATGACTAACTCAACAACAACAACGACGACGACGACACCAGAAACAAACGAACAAACAAATCACTGTAAACGAGGCCAGGACCTTGTGTGTGATCTTTTTCACACGGCTCCATTATTGTTGTTATGAAATAGAGCAGAGAACAGAGGTGACTGTTTGTGCTGCATCTGTCGTAGCGAACAGACCATGTCTGGCTGATCTACGGGAGCTCAATACGCATAGATTAGCGCATGCGTAACAACCAAAACCTTGAAGCCCTATTCAAGTCGTACCATAGCTTTCGGGCGATAAGCCAACGTCTGGAATAACTTAAATGTACACAAAGGATATTTTAGCTTTTCTTTTTTTGCATTTTTTCTTTGTAAGGAAAATGTTTATATTAATTAAAGTATTCATGAATGCTATTTTTTAAATTCTAGAATTTTGCTCTAAACATTTTAAAGTGGTATATTAAGATATAACAAATAAACAATAAGCAAGAATAAAAAAAAACTAAATAAGAATAAATAAAAGATAAATTAGAGCAATTATATAAAATTATATGAAAAGGAATTAAAAAGAGAAAGTTTAATAATTTAGGAAAAATAATGTGGACAGATTGCTTGGAGAATTTAATACTCACAAGGCGTATTGAAGGCCAGAAGAGTAGTAGAGTTTGAAGAAATGGCTAGAGGAACAAATAACACAAAAACAGAGAGGTGTCATAAAGGAGCAAGAAAAAAAGAAAGGAAGCTGTGGAGAACCATGATCTTCCACGTCCTGAAGGAACATGAGAGAGAGAGAGAGAGAGAGAGAGAGAGAGAGAGGCGATATGCATTTCGGGGAAAAGCAAGCTAAAATGTTACTAGAAGTTGTTTTTTTATTCTTTCATTGGTGGATTGTGGTCGTTAACAAGTGTATAATTTATGCACTAGTGAGCAATTTATTTACAGAAGAACGAGCAATCGTCACTTTATGATAGGCTCTGTTTTGCTTGGAAGTTGGACGACATTAGTTGGAAAGTAGCCGTGCCAAAATTGAATCTCGCCTTAATCTGAAACAGAGAATGAGAGAGTGAAAAAAATAGTGATTGCAAACAAATTTCTTTTTCCATTTTTTTTTAAGATAAGAATCGTGTCCCTTCTGCCGCCCATCGAAAACCCCAAATATAAATGCCTGTAAAAAAATGTACACTCGAATTGACGTCAATTTCGTGTTAGTTATTCAAAGCTCATCATTCTAGTGAGCATCGAACAAGTAATTTACCAAACAATAGGTAAACAACGTATTTATTTGTTCAGTATAATTGTAAATGTGGCTTGTTATCGCTAAGCGGCACTAACTTCAAATATTTAGAAAGAAATTGAAGCTATTGTTAAAAATGAACATTTTTTCCAGGCTTTTTCTGGTATCATTTCACATGACTACACTTACGGGTATGGTTTTACGTACACTGTCAAACATATTTATATACTCTTTTGCATGTCTTGTCATAGACAAGCAAACTTGATTCACCATCAAACAAACATGGTGACACATACACACGATATGTGAAAATAACATTACTCCGAAATAGAGATATGTGAAACGCATTGTATGTTCATATTTCGGTGTAGGGCTAACACAACAAATATTGCACGTATACTAGACATTGATCCTCAGTAGAAGTAAAAATTATGTGATTCTACAGAAGGATGTTGAGAATACCATGACGGAGAATGTGAGCAACGAGGAAGGTTTTAAAGAAAATGGAAACAAAAAGGACACTTATGCTTAGTATAAAAAAAAGAGACAGTTGAAATTTCCAGGAAAAATAAGGAAAGAGGGCTTGGAGAATTTGACACTCACAGGACATAGTAATGACAAGCGAGGCAGAGAAAAACAGCGGGTAACATACCTAACGTGTTTGTGCAAATAGAAGGTAGAACAAGGAATGGAGTTGGAGTAAAAGACAAACAATGCTATGAGTTACGAAGGATAAGAAATTGTGGAGAGTCACGACCGTCCCCGTCCTGAAGGGACGCTGCACATAAAAAATATCATTAGCTTATAATTAGTTTTTAAGGGTACTATACTAAAGTAACATTAATTAAAGAGAATAAAAGGTAAGAGATCGGAAGAAAAAAAAACACGCTCATAGACGTGTGTGCATGTGAAAATACACACGATAGGCACATACATAAAAATTAAAATAAATACATGGAGTTTAAAACAAACTGACAGACAGACCAAATAACTATTCCAGTAATCAATCGACTGATCCAAAAACATTTTAGTCAGTGTTTCGTGGAGGAAAAAAAACGCCGAGCAGGCATTGGATGGCCAATTTTTATCAATGCGACAAATGAACGGAGGCTTTACTTTTAAGTACGAGTCATCCCAAGAGCTGTGTAATAAAATGCAGATATCTTTAATCAAAGTCAAGGAATGCGTCACAATCTAGACGTATGTGTTGCGTCGTCAGAATAGCCATTCGAATTGATGCCCTTCGCTAAAATCGTCTGCAATGGTTAGGAAAGCGACGGGACTATACTTTGTATTAAAGGAAGATCGTAATCTCTTCCGGTGAGACTGACCGACACGGACACATGGAGGACTAATAATTTATTAGCTATGGGGTCATAATGTTTTGACTCTTCAGTGTATTCATTAGAAAACGCACACGACTTTTCTTTCCATATTTTTAGTTTATTTATGATACGTAAAATAATGAAATTTAATGGAACAAACAGAGCATTAACGTTTTTTTGCTTTTATGCAAACTAATATCAGTCAGGTATGTGCCATGCGTGATACACGCTTAGGCGATCATGTATCTTCTGATACAGGGCTGACGAGGCAAATTTTTTCCCGCAGTAGGTTGCCATTTCTTTCTGCGATAGACCAGTTGCCATCCAAGGTCTGTCCTACTATTTACCCATAACTGAGGGGAGAAGAAGAGGATTCATACTTTTCCCAAGGGTATTAGTACGTAAGTGAATGTAATGGATTCGAACTCGGCTCCCCGATTCCTCAATCCGAGCCTCTATCCATTACTTCACCGAGTGAATGATAAAAGAGCCTTTTTACGTAATTTCTTCAGTAGGGCTTTTTTTAAAAAATTTTTTTCATTGCGCAACATTGCATTCTAGTCGGTTTAATGGTTTGCGAATTGTTCATACGTATATGCGTTTCAGCGTCCCTCAGATCAATTTGGTTATCCTTTATGCTAAATTTTTGAAACTTCCTTTTTTTATTTTAGTCACCCTCAAACCTACCATCATAGCCAGTGTTGAAATTTTTCTTGGACGATCCGATCTTGCATGGGTTGATACGGTGCCAGTTTGAAAAATTTCTTCCCTGGATTGCTAATGGTAAAAATGGCCGTTTCTATGCAAGAAACATTCAACATTCAACATTCATTGATCAAGTAGTTAATGTTACTGCCGGTTGTAATTTCTAAAATCTTTTTCTTAGAAGAATTTTTCAAGAATTCTCGAGTCCACTGTTATCGCTCTTTTTAGTTCTAATGGGAGTTTAATACCAGGTCTATTGTTTAAGGTAGCATGGTTAAGACTAAATGAATTTCTTTTTCAGGTGTTCCGAATGAGCTTTAGTTTTTGTCATGATTTCAGAAACGAATGAATTTTTTAATTTGTAAAATAAATGTAGATAGGCGTTCTAAAGTGATGATAGAACAGAAAGATGTTGAGAATATTATGGACGGAGTATGTGAGCGACATGAAAATGTATAAGACTTGCTCAGTTTTAGATGTTGCTATGATCTAATTTATTGTCATTTTTTTCATTAGGATTTGAATATGTAAAAGTAATCATTATTAATTAAGGTAAATAAATAATATGACTTCTTTCTTATTTATTACCTGTTTACGCCTGGAACTATTATACTATCGTTATTTAAGTAGATAATTGGTAACAAACCAAATTCGGAATGGTTACTAAGAAAAAATAAAGAAAATAAATTCAAGGTCGAAATATTTTCCATATAACTACAAGTATATTTTCTAAGGAGTTAATGGATTTTTATTTATAATACCATAATTATTAACCATTGATTTAATCGTTGCTCACGAAAACCACATTTTCTTTATTAAGACTCTCGAATGCATAATCTGGTAGACGTAAACGTTTAAAAACAGAGATGTTTACTCAAACAGGAGTACCCAGTAAATATGTAAATTGATTGATCGATTGAATTTTATGGCTTATCAACCTATTGCAGATTATTTATTAAAAACCGCACTATATTTTTAGATTGTAAGAATTTCTGGAGATAATAATAATTTTTACTGATACAAATTCTACTAATTAACATATAACTGATGGGGCGGGGGGGGGAGAAGAGGTGTATTCAATACCATTCTCAAGGGCATTTGTGCTCAAGTGAATATTACAAACCCGACTGGTATTAGAACTCGGCTCTCCGATTTCTAATTCCGAGCCGTTATCGATTATACCACCGGCACATCCAAGCTTACAGCACCTGGTATTCCCAAGTTGACACCCATCTAGGTACTGAGCAGGCTTGACGTTGCTTAACTTTGGCGATCGTACGAGAACCGATGCTTCAACGTGATCTGGCTGTAGGCAACTAAATATGCTGAATAATAAGAAACAATTGATGCCTACATAGTTACACACAAGTAGACAATATACATAAATGAAAATATATAGATATTTTTTTTATTTTAATGATTTCACCTCAAGCTAGGCAATAAAGTCACTATAACACAAAGAATTTCTAAGTGCGAGAGAATATGAGAAATAAAAAAAGCATTATCAATAGTTATTAATGTTAATTAATGGATAAGGAGAGAGAAGAATAAAAAAAGGAATTAAGAAGACAGAAGGTAATGACTAACATTACATTTAAATTTTTGAAGATCAAAAATTTGCATGTATAAATCGATGCGTTTAAATATGCATCTAAATATCTTCTATATGCTGTGTCTTTTCCGGACGTTTTTGATCATGGCTCTCCACATTTTCCTGTAGCTCTTAATAAATTTTGCCTTTTTGCTATCGCTCCTAAACCTTGCTCCGCCATCCATCTACTCCATCTCGCAATGTAGGTTATGCATTGTTTTCCACTGTCCCTTTTGCCTTCAATCTGTTTTGTGAGGATCAGATTTTCCAAGCCTCCTTTCCTTATTATGTGCCCAAGAAATTTCAACTGTCTCTTCTTAAGGTTAAGTATAAATGTCCTTTTTGTTACGAGATTTTCTCTAAAATTTCGTCGTTGCTCAAATGTTCGGTCCATGGTATTCTGAGCATCCTTCTGTAGAACGACATTTCTGTTGCTTCAAGTCTTTTCCTCATCTGCGAAGAGATTGTCCAGCATTCACAGCAATATAGGAAGACTGATATTACATAACAGTTCAGCATTCTTTGTTTCTAACAAAATTTTTCTATTTCTTAATACTTTGCTTAGCTTTTGGAAGGCAACTTTCGCTATCCCAATCGGATTTTACTGTCACACTTTCCATTAGTTTGTTAAAAAAAATTCTTGTAGTTTTCTTTCTGTGTCTGTTATCAACACTATGTCATCTGTGTATCTTGTTAGGAGTGTGGCCGCCAATAATGAATTCTGTTAAAAGGATGTAAGAATGTGTCTTCTTATTCATCCAAATATACGCAGAAAAAACAAAACAAACGAAAGTAGTCGGTCTTTTGAACGGGAACAGAGGTTTATATCTTATTTCCTCTTTAGGATTGTGTTTCCAGTCTTTTCTAAAGTCTACTTTAATTTCTATACTTGTAAAATCTCCGCCTAAACTCTGAAATTTTTATTTACTATTTAGTTATTTATCTTTCCTCAATACAAGTAGATAAGTTCATCTATCGCCAGGTTCACACTCCTCTCCGGTCTTTTGAATAGAAGTAGAGATGTATCCCTTGTTTCCTGTCGAAGACTGGGTTTCCGGTTCCTTCTAAAGTCCGCCCTGTCGGCTGGGGCTGTAGAATACGCTGACTGCACCTCTGCAGAAGGGTAAGACCCACCCCACAATGGGGCGTCCTGGATAAGATGATAAACTACATCCGCGTCCGAGGTAAGACGATAAACTACATTCACGTCCTGGGTAAGACGATAAACAACAAGCATCTGATCAGGAGGTTTTGAGGAGCGCGGAATCATCTCTTAAATGCTGCTATCCCCAAGTCCACCCTGACCCGTGGTGGTAGTACCTGTTCGGATCCCAGTTATGGGCAAATAGTTAACCCACAAATTGTACGAACGAGGGGCGTCCTGGGATCTGAAGTTAATACTTAAAAGCTGTCTTTTTGAAAAGCTGTCTTTTTGAAAAATAGTTAACACCCAAACTTGTGTAAAAATGTGTTTTAATACCAGAAATACTTTGTAATAAAAAAAATATTACCAACAATAATTTTTGAAGGAAAAATTATTATCAGCAATACTTAATACTAGTAGGCATAGAATCTAGTACGACATGCCAAGAGAAATTTACAGTGAAACATATACTGTTAGAATGTGTAGATTTTAATCTAGTGTGAACAAAATATTAACAAGTGGGTAATTTAAAAAAAGACAAAACATTTTTACGAAAATAAAACCATCCAAGATTGTAAATTTCCTAAAAGAAGTTGGATTGTACTCAAAAATATGAGTAATTGAAAAATGGTTCAAATATATATGTATACATACACACCTTTTTTTTTACCAAACTATCGCTATGAATCTATTTAAAAAATTTTGTTGGTATTAAATGTCCCACTGAGGTTGATATGCTATAAAACAAAACAACCAACAAAATCCTTCTAAAGTCTCTTCATTCTCTTTAACTCTAAGTCGCCCCTTACCTCTTGTTTGGGGTGAATTGATTAAAACAAATGTATTTTGATGCTACTCTTCAATAGCAGTATCGTTTGTGAGGTTGTTGCTTCCATTCAGAAGAGGATTACTTGGAGGAGAAAGTGCAACCTTTGTGTTAAGGTGAGTCATTTTAAATGATTATGAAGTTTCTCGAATATACGTGTATGTGTGCGCTTATATATACATTCATGTGTGCGTGTGTGTGTTAGATTGGTTAATCAAATGGCATATCAACCCTTTGTGAGTCATTTAACACGTTGGCTGCCAGGGGTCAATTACGAAATCTGACTTCAAACGCCAACTTTATAATGGCCAACTTAGGCAATAAAACATTTTTATGAGTTGATCTTGTTCAGCTTCAACTGAATTCTTAACATTGTTTTCACTCAAAATCTTATCACTGCGAAAAAACTTGTTGTTGGCTCCCACAGATAAAAATATATCAGAAAATGCCAGGTACGAGATAACTCGTAGTTGCCACGAGGTAACTCGTAATTCGCATCATAATAAAAAAAATGCCAGTTGTGGTTGTTAGTTAATGCATTAATGGTCAGTATAAGTTTTATAGATAAAAAATCCTAGTGAATCAGTAAATAGGTAGATAGAGGTTCAACTAATATGAGTCAAGAGGTCCTGTTTGTACTTAAGTCTACAAGTATCCCCCCACCACGGAAGATGGAACATTTTCAGTGGGTCTTACAGAGAGTTTTTCAGTGAATTTTAAGACCCACCCATACGGAAAGTATGTGTGTGTGTGTTGTGTATATGTGTGTGTGCGTAAATGAATTAGTGTTTTGTGTGTGTGTGTGCGTGTGTGTGTGTGAGAGAGAGTATGTATGCGCGCGCGTGCATGAGTAAGTGTGTGTGTATGTGTGAGTGAGTGTGTGTGTGTGTGTGTGTTAGTGATTGAGTGTGTGCATGTGTATACGTAAAAATATGTGTGCATATATAAACAAACACGTATCTTAAGTTTCTGTACAGGAATAGAAGTGCAGAAAATAACGACGAGATGAAAATATTTTGCTTTGATTTTCATTCATAAATTCTTTTTTTTTTTTTTTTCCATAGGTAATCGAACCTCATCAATCTTGCTAGAAATCCAGAACCGCTACTCGAGTTGAAATCCCGAGCAGTATTTACAAGCGTTCTGTCCGCGGGGACGCTGAGATAATTCCAATTTGAGAATACCACGTGACGTAAGTTTGAAATTCTTATCTGTAGTAAGATCACCGAGTGATCACTCACCCATCCACCCAATTACAAAACGATCTATCTATCTATCTATCTATCTATCTATCTATCTATCTATATGAATGCATGAAATATTAAGTTCTACATTTTTTTAGGGATAACTGACAAGCTCTTTCTGAATTTGGATAACTTTATAAATTATGTGTCAGTTCAAATCTCCAGGAAAAATTACTTTTAGTTTTATCGAAAACATTTCTGCAGTTTCTGTGTGCAAAGCGAGCTATTTCCCTGATGCTATATTTTAATAAAACTTTCCAATTGCTCTTTACTTAGAGGTTCAGCCAACCAACCAAACCATAAGAGACGGGTTTACTATTCCAGTCTAAATTATATTCGGTCCTGGGGAAAACAAATGTTTTTCCTAACCCGTAAATAGAAGAAAGAAATCTCCTTTTAAGTGAACCTAACTTGTTTTTTTTATTCTCTTTCTGACTGCCTCTTTCAGCATTCTCTCTCTCTCTCTCTTTCTCTCTCTCTCACGCACACACACTGACACACACACAACAAAAAGGGTGGTTTCTTTCATTGTCTTGCGTTTTCATTTACTTTTTCACTAATATTTTAATACCATTTCAAGAAACCAATTCGTTCTTCAGTCGTTAATCTGTTATTCTGGAGTTACAGCCGAATAAAATATGTATTGGTGTTGTAGAATTACTCACACTTCTCTTCAGCTATATCTACACCCTCTCTTTGTCTGCATATATATATATATTATATATATATATATATATGTGTGTGTCTGTGTAGATATAGATGTGTGTGTGTGTGTGTGATTTACATAAATCTCGTTGCTAAATAAACTCCAAAACTGACAAGCTCTGGCAGATCTAAAAAAAAAAGTGCTCAAGGCACAAACTATGGAACAATTAAAAAAAGATATAAATAAGTCACCCAGTACTACCGTTTCGCCATCCGGATAGTCAGACTGGCTTATTTATTTTTGTGTATATATATACACTAGCACTGAATGTGCAATACTATATATATATATGTGTGTGTGTGCGTGTGTGTGTGAGTGTGTATGTGTGTGTGTTCCAGTGTGTGTGTAAAAATGAGACAAAGTGGAAAAAATATAAACGACGAGTTTCGTCGAGAGTGTCTGCTTCCTGTGGTTTCTTCGGGTTAGAATGAAAGACAAAACTGTATTTTGTTTCGAATACTATTATACGTCACACACACACACACACACACACACACACACACACACACACACACACACACACATATATATATATATATATATATATATATATAAAATATATAAAATAACAACGTTAAACATAAAAAATGTCTTTAATAAATATATATGTATATATATTTAAGGAATGGCTTGGAAATTTTAACACCTCCAAAACAAAACTGCTATATTTTAATCACTATAGAAAAACTTTTCTATCTTCCATCACCATGGCTGATGCTAACTGCTAGGAGAACGACTTATTGCAACTTCTTGGTTTAACGTATTCCACTGACATAAATTGTCTTTTTTCTTTTTCTT